TATATATATATATATATATATATATATATATGCATGACCAATAGTAATCTGTAAACATCTAAGTCCCACTGCTAAATAAACATGATTATTCCCATCACTTTAAAAATCAAGTTTTCATCGGGGAAAAGATCTGAGTTCAATCCAGATCTTAAATGTTTAAAAGTATTCATTTATTTGTTCTAATTTTGGGGGGTAGGTGGGGGTGATTTCCTCATAATAAGTTATTGAAGTCTTGTATAAGGAGGTTTAACGTTATACATCTTGCAAGCTAACGATAATTTATTTGGAGATACAAACAAACAAACAAACACACACTCTGGACATATGAATTATGAATATGTATATATAGTTAGATACGTATAAATAGATACACATACATACACATAATATATGCAAGCTAGAAATAAGATAGCAGGGTAGAATTCATCTGTTTTCTTTTTATAATCTACCCTGTCATTAGATTTATAAGGAAGAATCAAAGAAAAAAATGGACAAATTAGAACACCAAAAACATCTTAGAAACAATCAATGACTATTGCAACCACACGGCCTCACAGTAGCACATGCTCAACTAAAGCCCTCTAAAACATCCTAAGTAAATCAAAGGACCCAGTAGCCTCATAAATAAAAAATAAGTATCTATGATAGTATCTATGAAGTATCTTGTCTATGGAGAATCTCAAACATCCACATCATGGCTGTCCTAAAAGTACTTTTTCCAAAGCTAGACTTTTTTATTTTTTCAAGAAAAACAGAACTGAGGAAGCTTCTTGAATGAGAAGCAAAACGTTTTCAAGGGGAAAAAACTAAGGAGCTTTTTAAGAAGCACTTTGGGAATATGTGAATTTAAAATAACTATGTAGGACTGATAGGCAGAAGACCAGCAAAGCACATCAATGAACATCAATTGAAGATACAGGAGAAAAAAACTCCTTAATTTTAATCTTACAGCACATGAATCAACTGGGAAATTGTGAATAGCCTAAACTAAGCTAAATTTAAAAATGCTAGGGAATTCCTGGAAGCTTGGTATTCAGACAAATCAGCCATCAATAGACACATAGAAATAAACCACATTTACAAACTATTCAAAAGAGAAAATAAAAAAGGTAAGGAAACCGTAAGATCAGAACACATCTTCTTCAACAACCAACACTCAGATAAGCAGGTATTAACACCAGACAATCAAGTAGAAAGCAATACCTTAATCAAGAAAGTACCAGGAAGAAAACAACAGCCTCACCAAACTGACAAGACATTGTATATAAACAGGTAGCAGACTCCACATCACAAGTACTGATAATATTATCTAGTTGAGAATGAAACATTTGCAAGCAAACATCCACGCTCATAGGACACCAAGGACTCCATAAATACGTAGATAACAGAGTGAAAAAGACACACAGACACAGACACAGACACACACACACACACACATTGGACTCTTATATATGTATTCACAACTCAAAGATTTGCTGAATACTAAAATGTTATGGACTATGAGAAAGCGGAAATATTTAGGATTTAAAAAATACTCCCCTCCCCCTTATGTCACAACAATATCTTTGACTGCCATTAACCTCCTTGGTTTCCTCTTCCCAATACATTATTTTATGAAGAGCTATTAGATTGTGGCGTTTTGACAGAAATAGATAATAGTTTTGAGAGCAAGTTGAAATATGCCTATAATGCAACAAATTCCAACTAATTTATTTTCATCTATTTTTTCTTCATATTTCTGTCCAGTTAAATACTATGTCTGGTTAAGTCTAATTCCAATCTACTCAACTGACTTGTGATGTACCGCAGATGAGACAATAAATTTATTTCAGAAATAGCAATTTATTTACCAAGAATCAAGAATTAATAAACCACAGAGGTTTCAATTCATCAGGATGAATGAAGTTGTAGTTATTTGAATAAAAAGTCATAAACTTCATCTCTTTGAAGTTTAAACAATAAGCAAGCTCTTTGTACAAAAATAGAATATTGTTTGCTCAACATGCTTTCATCCTTAGAGTGTAGGATCTTCAAGCACTAGCATTAACGTTGCCGTCAATAATACTTACATGGTAAATTGTATTATCACCCTCACAATGCCTTTACAATAAATCCTTTACTTGTGACCAAGTTGCAAAACATTCTACAATACTTCCTTAACTCACATGTCACGTGACATCAGAGTTAAAATAAAACTATGGATACAGAAAAGGTGTAAGCCACTCTGCCTCCTAAATAAATATAAATATGAATAAGAGATCTCTTATTATTTATACAAGTGACACCCAAGAAAAAGCACAAATAAGCTTAGTGGGAAAATTAGCACTCACATCAATTACACAACTGATTATAATATAAAAATAATTATACAGCTACCTTTTCCACAGTAAGTAATAAACCTGCAAAGTTTTCTCTATGCTGTTTCATTTGTGTGTAAATACAGTAAAGTATTACTTATCTCTGTATAGTTTATACTCTGCATTATACTTTATAATATATTATACAGGGTAACTATAATAAAGCATGAGTGAACATGTAAAAAAGAAGACATTTAGCAAGGCAGAGAATGCTATGCATAAACTAGATTGGGCTAGAAATATTTATCATCATCCAGCACCAAAATTCTGAAAAAGTCTCAAGAAGTGAATAAGACTACCTGTTAATTAGCATCTAAAGGTATCCTGAAGCAACTCCTTGAAGTTGAAATGCAAGATGAGATAATTCTAACACAGAGTTTTATTAAAATTGCTGATTACTGGTTTTTGTTCAGACAGAAGCCAGAAAAAAGAAAAACATATGCAGCAGGAACTTTATGGTACTACTTCATCTTGAATATTACTTAATTGCATCTACTCCTCTTTTCTACACTCAAGCAGTGACGTGCAGTCAGTAGAGTCAGGGGAGGCACACCCTCACCACTGTCAATCATGAAAAGGAAAAAAATGTAAACCGGAAAAGGCAAGTGCTGAGGTTAGGCTAGCTAGCTGCTGCCACACCGTGAATGACTGCCTGTTTAAAAAAGCCTCTAAAAAGCACCCTCTACTATGAGGCAGAAGAACTGGATGCCTCATCTAGTCTGACTTTTTAGGCGCTCGAGCAGAGTTAAGCGAGGGTTAAAAGCCTAAAAAATCCCGAGGTAGTTGAGGCACGCAGTTCTCCTGCCTCATAGTAGAGGGCGCATTTTTTAGAGGCTTCAACTCTGTCAT